CTTCCAAAAGCTCCATCTCAAAAATACTACTGATTTGGGGACTAAGCCTTTAACTTAAAGGAACATTTAGATCCAAACCAGAACAAATTCCTATTTGTTTTTCTGCCACAACTCAGATGGCTGAATTCTCTCTTCTTCCTGGTTATTGTACCTAGACTTAAATTTTCATTTCTTTGGCTACTACAGTATAACTTTGAGTATGCTAAATTCTCTGAACTTCAGTTTCTTCATCAGTAAAACTGTGATAATAATAAATCCTTTTTAATCTTGTGATAAAGAAGATTAAAGGAGATTACATTATAAAATGCTTAGGACAATACCTAACAAATAATAAGTGCTTGGTAATTAATACTACTCTGTACCACTTAATTGATGGAAAGTTTTATCTTCCTTTCATCTTTTCAGAATACTAGTCACTGCTTTAGGTACTGGAGATCTAAGAAAAAAAATTTTTTTTATCCCCAAAGAAATTCGAGTAAAGTAAGAAGACAAGTCAATAATTATAAAATTGTATTATTTAATATTAATAAAGGCAAATTAAGAATGATATAGGAGCACATAGATAGATGCATAACTCAAACTGGTATTGAAGGTTCTTTGTTAAAGGTGACATTGCCACTCATTTGTCTTCATGATCTTAATAGCTATTTACTAGTACCATTTACTCAATACCTGTGATTTAGATAGCTGTGCTTAAGAATTATCTATTTACTAAATTGGTCCTCTTGTGTCCTTCAAAATTCATGTCCAAAAACTGAACTCATCTTTTGAGTTCTACATATTTCTTAAAATTGTTATTCCTTTCCATTCATGCTAACCAGCTTTTATTTCAGGTCCTTGTAACTTTATTTTTGGACCACTGCCCTGAAATCTCTTCACATACCCACTGGAACACAAATCCAACTAAGTCTTTTTTCAACTTAAAATCCTTTAGTGGATCTATATACAAAGTCTCTTTGATCTAATCCAGCATGCCTTCTCTATCCAGACACTACCCTCTCTTGTTGTATAGTTTAGCCATATCAAAGAGTTTTTTGTCTGTTTGTTTGTTTTGGTGTTCTCCACCCAACTCTGCCCACCCAATGCCCCACATATATACACACACACTGCTTTGCACTTTGCTCATACATTTTTTCTTTCTTTACATATACTAGAATAGGATCCTGCTATCTTATCAGCTACCTTTCAATTAGCTGTTTCTTACTTGTCCTTTAAGACTTCATTCTGTATTTCCCCTAGGAAATCTTGCTTGAGCTCTGTGTTCTTAATCATCCTTTCAAAATTATATGTGCTTTCTTTGTACTTCCACAATATCCCATTGATATATCACTTTGTTACTATATTTACCACATTTTCATGTGCTTCTCTTGGAAGATTTTGAACTGTGTGATGTCAGTGGCTGCTTTGTACAGACACTTTTATAAAGGCAAGGCTAGGATCACAGTAAGTCCTGAGTAAATATTTAATGAGTGGGTGGATAATGAATATGTGTTAGTTTAGGCAAGTAGGGGTGACTAAGCATATGCTTGAAAGAAGGCCCATCCAAGTACGAAAGTATAGAAGAATTAAAGTATTTCATTTAGGAGTTTAGAATAAACAGGCACAGGGTGTTAGATTAGGGGTGTCAAGTGAGCCTAGGTAGGTAGAGCCTATTGCAAAAGATTTCTGATGTCTTACTAAGAATTTTCTTTTTCCTTTTTTTGTACTGGGGATTGAACTTAGGGGCACTTTACAACTGACCATATCCCCATCCCTTTTTATTTTTTTGAGACAAGTCTTACTAAATTGATGAGGCTGGCCTCAAACTTGCTATCCTTCTCCCTTAGCTTCCCAAATTCCCTGGGATTACAAGAATGCACCACCATTCCTGGCACAATTTTATTCCTTTTTAAGATTAAAAATATTCCATTGTTATGTATATAGCACATTTTATTATGTACTCATCCATCATTGGACATTTATTTGTTCCTTTTAGTTGTTATGAATGATGCTGTTATGATAATCAAGGGGTTTTTTGGTGTGTTTGTTTGTTTTGGTCTTCTCCATCCACCTCTGCCCACCCAGTGCCTCACACACATACATACATATATACCGGTTTTGCTCTTACATTCTTTCTCTTCCTTTACACATGCTACAATAGGATCCTGGTATCAGCCACATTTTACCTGGCCATTTCTTACTTGTCCTATAAGATTTCCTCTACAAATCTGCTTGAGTCCCTGATTTCAAATCTCTTGGATATACACCCAAAATGGAATTGCCAGGCC